AGACTAGGTACAAGAACTTTGATAGGTCTTTATGTCAGTGAAAACAATGATTCATATATATATATATAATTTTTTCCCGAATGCGTAGCGAAGGGTTCTCGTTTAACTCTGGGGGTCTGGGGGTAGAGTCTTGTTCGCGACCCGTTGCTTCTATGTTCGCAACCGTCCGCAACCGTTCGCAACCGTTCGCAACCGTTCGCAGTAGGACGCTAAGGCGCTGCCATTGGGGGAAGCTTTTGTAAGTGACTTTTCATGGATGTGTCACGTGTCAGTTTGCGACGCTATTCCATTGTGATTTGCATGAAAATGACATGTCGCGCAAGAAGCGTGATGCATGTCGCTGCACAGGCGCAGTGGTTTGAGAGATCCGCAGTTGACTGCGCAGTTTCATTGGGATTAGCGTTTGGAGAGTCGTGTTTTTGGGGTGTTGGATGTGGCCGTGCCATTGGGATTTGCGTTTCAGGGTGTGGCATCGAAGCTCTGTTTTCGTGACAAGTCTCAGCTGAAATGGCGATTTTGGTGGATGGGAGTGTGCTCAGAACGGGTCGAAATCATTCTAAACGTGTGGTGTGGTGCAAATTTTGTTGAAGCTCACGTGAGATGATCTTCTCACTTTTCGAGGCAGGCACAGTACTTTGTGCTGATTTTGAGGTGTGGAAGTGCGATTCTCGTGGCAGGCGCAGGAAATCGTGAGGTTGCGAGGTGTGACGGAGGTGACATTTCGTGGCAGGCGCAGTACTTTGTGCGCGTTAGACGTGTGGATGCGGAAAGATTCGTGGCAGGCGCAGGGAATCGTGAGGTCCTGAGTTGTGGTAGAGGTGAATGTCGCTGTCACATTGGGATTGGCGTGTGAGGGGGTATTGTTTGGAGGGGCTGGACTCGCGAAACTGCTTGGCAGGGCTGCGTGATGTGTGTGCTCCGATGGGTGTTTCCGCTTGACTTTTGGAGGAAGTCTCGTACGAAATCCTCGTTTTGCAGACTTTGACATGTGAGTTTTGGAGGAAGTCTCGTACGAAACGCTCGTTTTGGAGACTTGACACGTGACTTTTGGAGGAAGTCTCGTACGAAACGCTCGTTTTGGAGACTTGACGTGTGACTTTTGGAGGAAGTCTCGTACGAAGCGCTCGTTTTGGAGACTTGACGCGTGACTTTTGGAGAAAGTCTCGAACGAAACGCTCGTCTTGCGCAGCCTCGAAGCGTGACTTTTGGAGGACGTCTCGTACGAAACGCTCGCAGGAGTGCTTCTAGTGTGCCACAAGAGTGTCCTACAAGAGTGTCCCACAGCCACAAGAGTGTCCCACAAGAGTGGTCCTACAAGAGTGTCCCAGAAGAGTGTCCCACAAGAGTGTCCTATAAGAGTGTCCCACAAGAGTGTCCTACAAGAGTGTCCCATAAGAGTTTCCTACAAGAGTGTCCCACAAGAGTGTCCCACAAGAATGTCCCACAAGAGTGTCCCACAAGAGTGTCCCACAAGAGTGTCCCACAAGAGCGTCCCACAAGAGTGGCCTACAAGTGTGTCCTACAAGAGTGTCCCACAAGAGTGTCCCACAAGAGTGTCCTATAAGAGTGTCCCACAAGAGTGTCCTACAAGAGTGTCCCACAAGAGTTTCCTACAAGAGTGTCCAACAAGAGTGTCCCACAAGAGTGTCCCACAAGAGTTTCCTACAAGAGTGTCACACAAGAGTGTCCCACAAGAGTGTCCCACAAAATTGTCCCACAAGAGTGTCCTACAAGAATGTCCTACAAGAGTGTCCCACAAGAGTGCCCCACAAGAGTGTCCTGCAAGAGTGTCTCACAAGAGTGTCCCACAAGAATGTCCGACAAGAGTGTCCCATAAGAGTGACCCACAAGAGTGTCCTATAAGAGTGTCCCACAAGAATGTCCGGCAAGAGTGTCCTACAAGAGTGTCCCATGTCCCACAAGAGTTTCCTACAAGACTGTCACAAGAGTGTCCCACAAGAGTGTCCTACAAGAGTATCCCACAAGAGTGTCCTACAAGAGTGTCCCACAAGAGTTTCCCTACAAGAGTGTCACACAAGAGTGTCCCACAAGAGTGTCCTACAAGAGTATCCCACAAGAGTATCCCACAAGAGTGTCCCACAAGAGTGTCCTACAAGAGTGTCCCACCAGAGTGTCCCACAAGAGTATCCCACAAGAGTTTCCTACAAGAGTGTCCCACAAGTGCCACAAGGAGTGTCCTACAAGAGTGTCGTGTAAGAGTGACCCACAAGAGTGTCCTACAAGAGTGTCTCACAAGAGAGTGTCCCATAAGAGTGCCCGACAAGAGTGTCCTACGAGAGTGTCGTGTAAGAGTGACCCACAAGAGTGTCCTACAAGAGTGTCTCACAAGAGAGTGTCCCATAAGAGTGCCCGACAAGAGTGTCCTACAAGAGTGTCCCACGAGAGTGTCCTACAAGAGTGTCCCACAAGAGTGTCCTACAAGAGTGCCTTTCAGGAGTGTCCTACAAGAGTGTCCTGTAAGAGTGTTCCACAAGAGTGTCCTACAAGAGTGACCCACAAGAGTATCCTACAAGAGTGTCCCAGAAGAGTGTCCCACAAGAGTGTCCTACAAGAGTGTCATTTGGACATATGTAGCTTTTCGAACGTGTTTGCATTCGGGTTCGTGGGCTCCATCTTGTTTTTTTTTTTGGGGGGGGGGTTGCCTTGTCAGGTTTGGACAAGATGCCAGCCAACGCCAAATTCACACAGCAAATTTGGATTGGTTTTGGCCTATGAAAGAAGGACATCAAATAAATTGAAGCCTAGATGGAAGAATAGAAGGAAGCAATCATAACATGTAAAACCTATTGGAGCAATAGAAAGGTCCTTTAGGAGGGGCGAGTGTTGTTGCTGAAGCCTGCGTATCTGCTCTCTCTCCTTTCAAATAGACTCGACACAAAGCGCGGCGAGGCACCTCGTCGAGGAAAGCTCCCGTCCGGCGCCCGCGCCACATGGGGTGGCGCGGGCGACGGCTTTTTTCCAACTTCTGTCTGAGCTGCTTGTTTTCAGCTTGGAGGCTTCCAAAACGGCGAGCTGCTCAGTGGCGAGGGTTGAGACCTCCCAGTTATAAGTGATACACTTGCTCGACTCACGCTTTCTGTTCGCTGAAACAAGGATCTGGTCAAGGATGGTAAGGACAGCGCTGGTCGCCGGATCGGCATGATCGGACCGGAAGTTGCGGTTCGTGAACTGATTGGCATCACACACGATGACGTCTACCTGGTCTGCCACGGCCGCAACCAAGGTTCGAAGCCAAAAACCGATATTGAGAACAAATACCAGGCAGTTACTGATACTGAACACAGAAGAGTTAAACTAATCTGCCGACCCCGGTCTAGGCCGGCGCGTGCTCTGGTGAGCGGTGGGCAATGTTACTCAGCCGTCACATTGACAAACACTTGCCCAAAAACTGCCGTTTCAATGGCATGTGTCTAAGTTCTTTTCTTCTGGGACCGTCAAAGTCTTTTTTCTCGGGAAAAGCGTTGTCCCACCCGCTGGGAGCACCAGACAGACCGTCACCCGACTCGAACGCGTGACAGAGGCCTCCGAATCGAATCCACATGGTGGCGCTCGTAGGTGCCATGCACGCAAACCTCGCGGGCGATGCGAGGTCAGTCGGAGGACTCCGCGGCAGGCTTTGGTCCCAGGTTCGACTGCGCGCCCCAGACCCAGTCTGGCGCCCTTTGGATTGAGGCGGGGTTCAAGCCAGGCGCACCACATGGTACCGCGCGCGCGCGTGCAGGTCGGTGGTTCGCAGGTCTCAAAAGGTTCCTGGGCAGATGTTCTTTGTCCCTCCATCAGAGGCGCTCTTGTGCATGTTTGTTAACACGGGTGCCTGCCGCAGACCATGCGACCCCCTTTCCTGGAACCTCGCCGGCCAGTGGGGAGCGTGTCGGCAGAGGCAGTTTGGTCGAAAGGATGCTCATGATGGATTAAAATACCTGGACAGGATGGACATCTCCATAACCACGGTTGCTGCCTGCTCGGCCACGGCCGCAAAGCACACATATGAGAGCGCGTGCCAAGTATATACTGCGCCTGCCAGGAAAATCTGCACGCTCAAGTGCATAAATCCTGCGACTGCCGCGCAATCTCTACATCAAGGAGCTGCTGCGCGCGCCAGCGTTTGCGATCGCACTGATGGTCGGGGCCAAGGCACGCCGCAACGCTCAAACTGCTGGTTGATTTGATGGGCGCGGCCGCGGCCGCAAAGCACACATATGAGAGCGCGCGCCAAGTATATACTGTGCCAAGTATGTACTGCGCCTGCCAGGAAATCTGCACGCTCAAGTGCACAAATCCTGCGCCTGCCACGCAATCTCTACATCAAGGAGCTCCAACTGCTGCGCGCGCCAGCATTTGCTATCGCACTGATGGTCGGGGCCACAAGGCATGCCGCAACGCTCAAACTGCTGGTTGATTTGATGGGCGCGGCCACGGCCGCAAAGCACACATATGAGAGCGCGTGCCAAGTATATACTGCGCCTGCCAGGAAATCTGTACGCTCAAGTGCATAAATCCTGCGTCTGCCACGCAATTTCTACTTCAAGGAGCGCCAACTGCTGCAGGGTCAATTATCTTGATGCTGAGGTGCTTCAGGATCCACCGCCGACGCTTGCGAGGAGATCTCCATCTCCTCAGAAACGTGAAAGAAGAAATAAGCAACATTGCTCCGTGGCTTTGCAACTCGTTTGTCTTTGCATTCTATGATTCTATAGACTTTTCTGTTAGTGTTCCATCTCAGGGGTCGAAAGGCTCGTCAGGAATGACATCTTCGGGGATGGCGTCCAGGTGGTCGACAACATATTGCCACGTCAAAAAGATGAAGTCACAGGCGAGGTCCTCAACCCCAGGTCGCAGAATCGTGATATCGCGGTCCATGTTGCGTGCTCGACACTCATGACGGCCAATGCATGCAACTTCCCGTTGTTGCGTCCGTGTTGGATCGGAGCTCAACTATTCCAGCGACCGCACCGCACGCTTGGAATAATTTCGACGACCTTTTCCATCATGGCCAGGCATATGGCTGCTGTCGGACGAGCTCCCTCCATCAAAGTGTGAAGCTCGCTGAGCATCCTGGCCACCATCTTCGGGTGCTGGTTCTGCATGTGGTTGGCTGCACTGCCTTTCCAAGGGACATAGAGCAGGCGGAGGTTGCACACTGCAATGCTGCCCCATCGCATGGGCGTTGTTGGTCTTCGTCGCCGGGACATGGGTTCCATAGCATGGCCATTGATCTGGATGGTGTCCCAACTGAGCTTCCGGTCGTAGTCCCAATCTGGTAGAGGAGCTTTGGCGGGAGTCTTCGACTTGATGTGGGCAATCACACCCTGCCCGTCCGCTTCCGTGAGGTGCTGCATCGGAGTTCGGCGGCCCGCCATGAACAAGGAGCGATGCTGAGGCAGATGAGGTCAAAGGCATTGACACTTGAGAGGATGCGCTCCGGAGCCGGTTCATCAAAAATAAAGTACGATCCCACTGAGCAGCTCAGATACGTGACTGTGACATCATAACATGTTCTTCTTCTTCTTCAAAATCTTCATGAAAACAACTGGATGAAATTCCAAAACTCTCGATTCGAACTGCTCGGACCGTCGGTTGGCGACGACACGGATGGTGGCATGACCCGCATGGTTGTGGTTCCCGCCAGTAAGGTACTGCTTGATGTCCATGACACAGTGACCCTTGTGGTTGCGACGAAGTTGATATGGTTGGGGGTTCTCTTCCAAGGTGTTGAGGGCCATACCCGTGTTGAAGTCCACCATTAATGCAGCTCCATTGTCACCCAAGTGATCCATGCCAACCAAGATAGGGACCAACATAGCTCTCGTGAACCGCGGCTGTGCCATATCAGGAGGATTTGGGAGCGCATAAATGCTGAACTTCCGCAACGATCCGGATGCCATGCTGCTGATGTGAACACGATACCAAGCGCGGCCCCACTTCCCATTCCCATACCTGAAATACGGGCGAGCGGACTTGTCGATCTCAATGATCGCGGCTTTGTCTTGTGAAAGCACGGCCTGAATCAGGCCCCGAACCGCCACATCAGGTCCTGCGGACGCTGCGGCACCGCAATCTAGCATGCCCTCATGGTCGCCCAAGGTGGTGGCGGGGAAGGTAGGAAGTGGCTCCTGGTCTTGCTGCTGAGTCTCCATGCCCGTCGGCTCGGGGGAGTACACATTGACAAAAGTGCGGGGTGGTCCCTTGCCCTTGTTGAGTTTGCCCTTGAAGTACATGTCTTCATGCTCCAAATCCCCAAGAAATGCACTTTTCTTACCCTTCTTCCCCTTGGAGTAGCCCTTGTGGTAGCTATAGAAATCATCCATGTAGGGGTCCATCATGAAGTGGGATTTGCCCTTGCCATACCGGGGATGAAAGGAGTGACGTTTGTCAGGACAATCTCTGGCGAAATGGTCGCCACCACAATTGAAGCACTTCACCATGTTCTTTCCCTTACCCTTCACAGCGCCGAAACCACGGTCTTTGTGAAGAGCCGCAGTGGCCTTCTTGGCCTCGGACCATGTGCGGTTGGCCTCTGCAGCCATTTGCTCTGCAACATGCTCAGCTTGTTGGGCTTCATGTCATGAAGCTTGGAGTCCATGTCCATGTCATTCGATGGATGGTTGGCGAGGTCCTGAACGAAGTCATCATGTTGTTCATGCCAGGACCAATCTTCATCATCATGAGCTGGTTCTACATACCAGCTCTGGTGCCAATCTTCTGGCCAGGCATCAGACCAGTGAGCTTCGTGCCAACTAGGATCATCTTGTTCTTGGACATGAGCTTGAAGTTGCTGTCCTCCAAATGACTGGTGTCGGCCAAGGAGTTGGTCATCCCAAAGGGTCTGAAGTGCCCTCGAAATGGAGTCGTAGTCTATCTTGTTCTGGGTCGTTGAGAGGATGTCTCTCTTCTCTTCATGTGTAAGGCCAGCTGCTTGTGGAAGTCTCCAACCACGGAGGACGCCCATAATGAAGCTGTCGGCAAAGGTCAGCTCATCGATCGCTTCAGGCATCCCAAAGGACTGGGAGTGCTGAACGGAAACGCCAGCAGATCGTCGGCTACGAGCGTCAGGTGAACGCCCGGTCGCCGAAGCAGCTTCTTCTCTCTGTCCTGAATCGTGGCCAGGTGATTCTGGTTGAAGTTGATGGTACCCTTCATGATCTTCATGCCAGTCATCGGCATGCCATGCCCAGCTGGAGTCAGCGTTGCAGGAGGTGTCATCGCTGCCTCGTGGAATGCCATAGTCCTTCGACTCTTGGGAGATGCTCTGTTGCTCTTCATAGAGCCTGGTGACCGCCTCAACGAACTCGCTGTAGCCCAACGTCTCGCGGATGAGGAATGAGCCCATCTGTTCACCAGGTGCTCGACGGAACTGAAAGTATTGAGCACAAATGGCAGCCGTGTTCGGTAGTGACTGCCGCACCAATGGTGAGGATGCTAACTTGCGGATCAAATCGTCAGGCGAGTCGCACGAGGCCAGAGGCCAGGACATAGCCAAGAGCCGAGCCGGTCCTGTGAGTTTGCTCACCAGTTTTGTGGCACAGAACCTTCTCTTGTGACATGGAATGCTCTGAACCCACCATGCCACTTCACGCGTCGCCGTAGACGATGGAGAGGATGTTGAAGTCACCGTACTTATCCTCAACGTGACTCAGTCAGGGAGGACCAGGTCGATGATCTCAAGGAAAAAGGGGGTAGGACAGGAACCAACCAGGCACCAAGGTGAAGAAAGCCAGGGCCCAATCACGAGCAAAGTCGTAGTCGAAGTCACCGACCTCGGAGAAGACAACCTCGAAGGTCAAGACCTCGTAGAGAGCCCTGCGGAAGCACGGTCCTGGATCGGAGCCGTGCTCCGCTACCAATGCAGCGGAGGGAGGTGGCGCAGCAACAAGTGGTTCTTTTCCACTGGCGCTGGGCGTCCAATGCCCTGAGCTGGCTAAGTCAAGGGGCCCCTGAGGGAAATGGCAGCAGCCGGTTGGGACTCATGAGATGACATGTCATGCATGCACAGTTCGCTCAACTGCACTCTACCACCCCCAGAGTTAAACGAGAACCCTTCGCTACGCATTCGGGAAAAATGGGCTGAGTGGGCACCAGGGCTGAAAAAGGCTTTTTGCTGGCAGCTGTGGAGATGGAAGGTCGGCGAGCGGCAAGGCTCACCAGAGACCAATGGGAAGCTCATCTCAAGAATGACCACCAGCCATTCCGAAAGGACTTGCCAGCCCGGTTGTTTTTAAACACGGAATTAATATACGATTTAAATATACGGTCAGCTTAATTACATATTGGCGGCGGAATCCATTTGGTACTGAGCTCAAATACACTATCTATTATGTGGGGTGTTGGAGGTGCTTTTGGTGGTCTTGGAGGTCCCGGTGGCCTTAGTGGTCTTGGTGGTCTCCGTGGTCTAGGTGGTCTTGGTAGTCTTGGTGGTCCGGTCTTGGTGTCTTGGTGGTCTTGGTGGTGATTGTGGCTGTCTAGGCGGTGTTGGTGGTGCTCTTGGTGGTCTAGGTGGTCTTGGTAGTCTTGGTGGTCCCGGCGGTCTTGGTGGTGATTATTGTGGTGGTCTAGGCGGTGTTGGTGGTGCTCTTGGTGGTCCCGGTGGTCTTGGTGGTCTTGGGTCCGGTGGTCTAGGCGATCTTGGTGGTCTAGGTGGTCCTGGTGGTCTTGGTGGTCCAGGCGGCCCTGGTGGTTTTGATTTGGTGGTGTGGCAGCCTGGCACCTCCCCATACAGCCTGCAGCCCTGAAGGTAGTAAGAGTCCTTGATGAGTTCTACTTCCTGTGAGAGGGTTTGAAAAGCTAGATCGACCTAGGTGCTAGTGCTGGGCAGAAAGCAAAGTTATTTCTCTACGAAAATTGGGTTCTGTAGGTGCCAAAAAACTGCCCCGTTACAACCTGGCCCCTCTGTAAGGGCCTCAAGCCTCAAGCTCTCCCTTTTGTAGAAGAAATGTCAACAGGGATCCGTCTATGTTGCAAATATACGGGGCCCGGCCAGACCCTTTAAATAAACGGTGGGAACAGGTATTTTAGACTACCTCCGGGGCCGGCGGATTAGTTTCCACCCTAATCACCCTAAACTAAATTGGAATATTATAAGTTTACTTCGGGGTGGAAATTGCTCTGGCCAGGCCACCATATATTTTAAAAGCATTACCGTATACATACGCGAAAAAAGAAAAATACGTTTACAGCATCTATGTGATGGCATATCTATATGGTATCGAATGAACAGGCATTATGTTCCACTCATCGCTAAAGGGAAGTGCAGATGCACCAAACGAAAGATTCACCTGCCAGTCCAGCCCCACACCCCCCCCCCCCCCCCCCCCCCCCGGGGTTTCTTTTGGGGCCCCACCACCTCGGAACAGGCCTCACACCTGAGACGAAGGATCCGAATGATCTCCGCGGATTGGTTTGGAAGGGACATCGACCGGAAACAGCATGGTTTTCGACACGGTGTTCACATGTTTTCACCCTCCAAAACGATGGTTTTTGGGCCTTTTTTGTGCTAGATATGTTCTGTGAAACCAATTCTGGGACAAGATCACATGCGTTCATCCAGGGATATGTACGTGCCCCAAACTCTGCTCCAGCGACTTAGCCAACAGCCCTGACCACCGACAAAAAAACAAACCTTAATTAAGCAACTTCAGCTGCCCTTGTTTTCACAATCTGTTTCACAAAAACACACATCCTCCAGTTGTCTCATGTTGTCTCGCAGCACACTCGCACAGCCAAACATCCCTTCCCGAGCTCGGAAGGGACGGTGGTCTCCCTGCTCGATGCACGGCTCGATGCGAGACAGCGCGGCGTTCTGCATCGAACGCGCGGTGCGAGACCCTGTCGATCGAATCCAGCGGAGGCACCGGGAGATTCCAGCTTTCCTGTTTGCCGATGCCAAATCTGTGCCAAATCTGTCCATCTGAATCTAGATCTCAAATGTCCATCTACCATCTATCCCTGCCTACTGTTGGAAGGTTCTTCCAGTAAAACCACTCAACCAGTGAAAGGAACGCTCCCACGGTGTTGGACTTCCTGGCTTCAGCGTTCTCTCCAAGCCTTCTCTTGCCTCAGCTTCCTTCTCCCCTTTTCCCCCTCCACCCCTCCACTGCATCATCACTCGGTCCAGGCACTTCCAGGAGTTCTGCTTGTCGAGCCGTTCGGGCGCGGTGAAAAGCTTTAACATATCCTCCAGATTGTCCGTGGCCTCAACCCGTGGCGGGTGGAACTGGTTTCCAACCTCGAAGCAGGTCGGTGTGGAAATGGGGAAACAAAACAGCTCATGCTTGGGGGTAGCAGGTAGCAGAAGGATGCAGAAGGTCGGTGGAAGCAAGCTCCAATGAGTGACGCTGGCTTCGGTCGGGATTTCATGGAGCTTGCTTGGCATTTGGACTGGACATGTTTTTTCCCGAATGCGTAGCGAAGGGTTCTTGTTTAACTCTTGGGGGTCTGGGGGTAGAGCCTTGTTCGCGACCCGTTGCTTCTATGTTCGCAACCGTCCGCAACCGTTCGCAACCGTTGGCAACCGTTCGCAACCGTTCGCAACCGTCCGCAACCGTCCGCAACCATCCACAACCGTCCGCAGTAGGACGCTAAGGCGCTGCCATTGGGGGAAGCTTTTGCAAGTGACTTTTCATGGATGTGTCACGTGTCAGTTTGCGCCGCTATTCCATTGTGATTTGCATGAACATGTCATGTCGCGCAAGAAGCGTGATGCATTTCGCTGCACAGGCGCAGCGTTTTGTGAGATCCGCAACGCAGTTCCATTGGGATTAGCGTTTGGAGAGTCGTGTTTTTGGGGTGTTGGATGTGGCCGTGCCATTGGGATTTGCGTTTCAGGGTGTTTTCGTGACAAGTCTCAGCTGAAATGCCGATTTTGGTGGATGGGAGTGTGCTCAGAACAGGTCGAAATCATTCCAAACGTGTGGTGTGGTGCAAATTTTGTTGAAGCTCACATGAGATGACATTGTTACTTTTCGTGGCAGGTGCAGGACTTTGTGCGGGTTTTGAGGTGTGGAAGTGGGATTTTCGTGGCAGGCGCAAGGAACCGTGAGGTTGCGATGTGTGACGGAGGTGACATTTCGTGGCAGGCGCAGTACTTTGTGCGCGTTAGACGTGTGGACGCGGAAAGATTCGTGGCAGGCGCAGGGAATCGGGAGGTTGTGAGTTGTGGTAGAGGTGAATGTCGCTGTCGCATTGGGATTGGCGTGTGAGCGGGTGTCGTTTGGAGGGGCTGGACTCGCGAAACTGCTTGGCAGGGCTGCGTGATGTGTGTGCTCTGATGGGTGTTTCCGCTGGACTTTTGGAGGAAGTCTCGTGCGAAACGTTCGTTTTGCAGACTTTGACATGTGAGTTTTTGAGGAAGTCTCGTGCGAAACGCTCGTTTTGGGGACTTGACATGTGACTTTTGGAGGAAGTCTCGTACGAAACGCTCGTTTTGGAGACTTGACGTGTGACTTTTGGAGGAAGTCTCGTAAGAAACGCTCGTTTTTGAGACTTGACGCGTGGCTTTTGGAGGAAGTCTCGTACGAAACGCTCGTCTTGCAGCCTCGCAGCGTGACTTTTGGAGGAAGTCTCGTACGAAGAGTGTGCCCTACAGGAGTGTCCCACAAGAGTGTCCCACAAGAGTGTCCCGCAAGAGTGTCTCACAAGAGTGTCCCTTAAGAGTGTCCCACAAGAGTGTCCCACAAGAGTGTCCTACAAGAGTATCCCACAAGGGTTTCCTACAAGAGTGTCCTACAAGAATGTCCTACAAGAGTGTCCCGCAACCATGTCCCACAAGAGTGTCCTACAAGAGTATCCCACAAGAGTGTCCCACAAGAGTGTCCTACAAGAGTGTCCCACAAGAGTGTCCCGCAAGAGTCTCCCAAATGAGTGTCCCACAGGAGTGTCCCACAAGAGTGTCCCGTAACAGTGTCCCGCAAGAGTGTCTCACAAGAGTGTCCCTTAAGAGTGTCCCACAAGAATGTCCCACAAGAGTGTCCCGCAAGAGTGTCCCAAATGAGTGTCCCACAGGAGTGTCCCACAAGAGTGTCCCGCAACAGTGTCCCGCAAGAGTGTCTCACAAGAGTGTCCCTTAAGAGTGTCCCACAAGAGTGTCCCGCAACAGTGTCCCACAAGAGTGTCCCACAAGAGTGTCCTACAGGAGTATCCCACAAGAGTGTCCTACAAGAGTGCCCCACAAGAGTTTCCTACTAGAGTGTCCCACAAGAGTGTCCCGCAACAGTGTCCCACAAGAGTGTCCCACAAGAGTGTCCTGTAAGAGTGTCCCACAAGAGTTTCCTACAAGAGTGACCCACAAGAGTGTCCCACAAGAGTGTCCTACAAGAGTGTCATTTGGACATATGTAGCTTTTTGAACGTGTTTGCATTCGGGTTCGTGGGCTCCATCTTGTTTTGTATCTACAGTGGTGTCGAAGTGTTGTCCTCATTGGAACGTAACATGGCAAAAGAGTGCATGGGGTGCCCAGCGGCATGCGGCGGCGCAATGAGAGATTTCTTGAGGCAACGTTTAGTTTGAGGTTTCTGGAGGAACAACTGTGTCTCCTTGCATGTTTGGAATTTGAACACCATTGTTCTGTGCCTTTGTGAAACAAAACAACCCTTCTGCATCCTTCAGCTGTCTTGCACAGCCATAACAGAAAAGGGTACAGCCAGACAGAACACAAAGCCAACGGAACCTGCTTGGCCTACACCAAGAATATATCCAAAAGCTTCTCTTCGCGGCCGGTCTATGTTGGTAGGCTGCAGGATTCCCGAAAAAAACCAAACAGCAAGAAGCCAAATGCCAAACAGCACAGCAAAACACACCAGGCAGCCAGCAACAAACAACAAACCCAACCACAAAAAGATGCAGTTATTACCAGCTCTCCCTTTTCCGTTCCAGGCACTAAACCACCCGAAGCAGCGACGCAATACCTCACCGGGGCTTTGGAGCTTTGGACCCGAATCAAACCACCAAAGATAGGCTTCGCAGTCCCAAAATGGTGGTTGAACTATAGTGTATTATACCATTAAGATCTATTTTACCACTGATGAAACTCATACAGTATATAGACTCAAGGATTATCAGATACTATCAGTGTGGATTGATACACACAACTGGTTCTTGAGGTCTACCATGGTCTACCACCTCCCGTCGTCGCCATGGTCTACAATAGAACCGCCTTACATCCAGCCCACCCCAAACCGTCCTGGACCCGGACCGGTCCTCAGCACCAACCGGGCCGACCCGCTGACCGACCCGACCCGACCCGAACGGGCCTCGGTGATCTCCAACGAGAGGTCCCGAAAGGGCTCGAAGGAAAAGCTGCTCCGTGCGCACTCCCTGGACGGGTCGAGATGGACGCGGTGGACGCGGGGTCCGTTTGGGGAGAGAGGGTTTTGGTGTGAAGAGGTGGCTGGTGAGTTGCTGGTGGGGGATGGGGAAGCTGGCTGGCACGATTTTTTGAACTGGATGGATCCAGGGGCATCTGAAGAGATACCCTGGCATCTGTTTGATCACAGGCTAAGTTGAAACGAACGGTATCTAGGAGGTTTCCCAATCAACACCTTTCCCAATACAGTTTCAAACAATCTACTTTGGCCGTTCAGGAGAAGATCCCTTCTACCCCGTTGAAAATGGGCTTGCCTTCCCATAAGCTACTGTATTGCATTCAATGAAAACGCTTTGTGACTTTAGATTCCTAAGCTATAAGATCCATTCAGATGCGTTGTTGGTCAGGTGATCGTCCGAATTCTTGGCATTTGATCTTGATGAGCTACGTGGTACCCCATTGGACCCTATAGAGGGTCCACGTCAAACACATGCAAGCTCTGAGCCCTCGGTGAGCCATGTCGACCAGGATGACACAAGCACAAGTCATCTCCAACCGTTCACCATGCCAACCGGTTGGATATTCGTCAAAAAACGATTTATACTGTGTTCTGGTTTTACCAGTTCTGATCTTCTGAATCACGGTTAACCGGTCAAACATTTATCAGATGAAAACCAACCAGTTCACCGCGAGCGACAACGGGTCTCCAGCACCCCCCCCCCGCTGAACCGCGAGCTCGACGAATGCGTCACGGGAGACCCCTCCGCGCTTCCGGGTGCAGGTGCACTGGGAGACCAAAATTCCACCTGCACAGCCCCAAGTGGTCGGGTTCTGGGTCAGGGACACAATGTGTACGATAAAAAACATGAATGCAGGCTTACATGTGTATATAAAAAGTTCACACATAAAACATAGAGTCGAGATTAGCCGAGTGTTGTGATCGAAGAATAATGAACATCTAGCTGTTGGGGTAGAACACCCGAGTTTCCAACATGTTCTCACGTGGTGCAGGACTTCATTCTTCAACATTGGAAGATGTTTCCAACGAACGCAGCACTGATTCTTGTATAGCTCTACATGGCTCTATATATACATACATCTTTCCAGGCACTGGCAGCACAAGTGTGTTGCCCCATGCCAGGACATTAGAACATAGAATGGACTACCCTTATTCTTGATAGGTGAAAGCACAAGGTCATGGCTAGGTCCTTTTGACCAAACACTAAGAGGTTGACCAAGGGGGGGACCCTTGCGACCAACGCAGGCCATCGCGACTGTCGCCTTCATGCGTGTTTGTCTGTTTCGGGCACAACAAGAGGTTGCTACATGGAAAAGTCAGTGCAAACGACCACGAGCAATGCAAAGGCTCAACATACCAACGAGCATTAAGACATATTCGCACAAAAAGCACAGTTCGCAACCAGAGTGCCAGAAGTCTAGAAGGTCTAGAAATCACTTGTTCCCATTCATTCCTTCACTTTTTCCAACCCCACCCCTTTCCACATCCGAACTAAACCGAACCACCTCCATGGAGGTGTGGTGCCCCTCCCACTCCCCACTCCCCACTCATCTCATCTCACCTCATTTCACCCTCAAAGGTTTGACCTCAGGACCCACTCAGGACCCGCGCCGAAGATCCGCGAGGGCAAGGCCGTCAAGTCGGCCTGAACCTCCAAGGCCTGGTCGTTCGGTGGCCGACGAGCACGTGCGCCGTCCGGTGAACCTGGTGCTGATGCCTTTAGGTCTGGTGTTGTTTGTGTTACATCATGTCTGGTCTCACGATATATTTCTTTTCCCTGACAAGTTGGAAGGGCTGAATGTGGATACATGGGGTGGATTGGATCGCAATTAATCTTGGTATTATGAGTCAGGTGTTTTGGCTGGTCCCATCTGTGTGGCAGGTGTTTCACATTCTTCTTTCTTCGACTTGCCAAGCAGTAGGAGCTGCTGATTTTTGATTCAAGCTGTCTGTGACTGCAGGAGGCGCAAAAGAGCCTCGAACATATTGGCTCGCCTCGCCTCCGTCACTCGGAACTCGCCGCAACTCGCCGGAACTCGCTCGCTCGGTCGCGCGGAACCCGCGGCGTGGATCGTCGCCTCTCCCGAGCTCTCCTGCAGTTGCCGTGCGTGATCCTTCAGCTCTTCATCCTCCACGCGACGCCAGGCGTCGACCGTGCGAGGCACAGAACCCCATCGGTCGCCCCGGGTCAGCGCCGGCTGAAGCGACTTGAGTCCATGTGCCGCGGACATGTTCCGATCCACGATCCAGCTGGGGGATGTTGAGATATTGAAATTCAGCCAAGATCCTACCCTCCTGGAACTAAGACAGCAACCACCTAGTCATTAGCTACGTATAGATTCATCTTTATATATACCTTTTTTTCATTTTTAAATAGTATTTTCTATGTTTCTCAGGTGCATCTGTCAATTGATTAGCTAGATTACCTCCTTTATATTTATCTGTTTGTCCTTTTTGCCTCCACTGCCCCTGTCAACTTTCAGTGATTGAATACCATCACATCATCTGTAGCTTCCAAAGGCTCCAAAAGCTGCCTGTTAAGCAACGGGGTCACTCAGGTGATCGGCTTCAGCATCTCCTTAAATACAGGATCAACCAAAACGCACCGAATCTCTTGACCAAGGATCCCGGGGGGAAGAAACTCTGCTTCATGTGTCATCTGGTCGCACTCCGAGTGAACAAACACATCGTTTTTTAAGGACAAAAGAGAAGCGAATCCATCTTCAATAGACATGTGCTCAATATATAGACCTGTTCGGGTATTAGGGACTGCAATGATTAACAAATACAATGCACATGTCACATGTTGTATAACCGTTGCAATCGACTCCACCGAACTTCAACCATAGTGACCATGCATACTTGGTTTCCAATAAACTGATGCCGACTTGGCCCTTGTCCGGCCCACCAACATAACTTAACCCCCCGGAAAACGAACGCGAAAGCTGAGATTTAACCCTGGATGGAAAATTACCGGCTTATCTGGACATTGTGCTATTGCTGAGTCTGTGTGGGTGCCCACGCAGATTTCTCAAGACCCACAGGTCCCACACATCCCGCAGCTCCTCCAACAGTCGTAGCAAACCGTTGAAGAACTCATGAGCATCCTGCGACGCTTCGCGTGGTCCCGATCCGGTTCGCTCGACCAAAAACGTTCTGCAGAAGTAAAGCGAAGATGTGAAGCTGGATCCATGGATGCCCAGCTGCTACATGGATCCAATATCTACCAGCAGCTTCATGACGGGGTCTTCTGGCTGGAATACCCTACCATACATGACTTGTGGATCTCCAAACAGGATACCCCGACATGAAGGTCTAGGTATAGAAGTCGTGGGAGTATGGACGACTCTTGATGACTTGATGAACTGGTGAAGATCAATCCACCCTTGCATAGCCTTGCAATCCCTTGGGAATGGGGCTGACACCCTGAGCATGTAGAGAGCTCCCCAGAAGCACATAATTAGTGGAGTATATCTTGTGGGCACATTGGTAATGGAATGCAATTTATGGGCGAAGCCTAAATTATTAAATTGTTCATTTCGTGCTTCGACTTTGAAAACGATTGCCTCCTGTGGACTTCTGGTGAGGGTTCGAAACGGGGGGGAAAACCAGTACTGGGTGAGGAGCTTCTGGTCACACACACACACAAGTTCAACGGTCAGCGCCAGGGCCGACTTCTCACAAATGAATAAGAAGCTCAATTGAACTCCCAGTTACAATTACATCGAATCAAGTCACTTTCCAAGCATCCAAATCTCCTCTTCCCTCCACTTCAAAACTCCAAACAATGAACAAAAAGGTCTATACTACATATACGCCGTACACCAACCCAGCTCAACCCACCCAGGTCAACCCAGACCTACCGCTCCAGCTGCCGCCTCTCCACGCTGTCTCGACCGTCTCTCCACCCGTGGCGACTCGGCTCGGCTCCTCTTGGGCTCCGAAGGTGAACTCCTCGTTGAGCCGCGGGAGCCAGCGCAGCACCTGCCCGGCTGAACGACGACCGGGTGAAGGCATGACAAAGCAGATCGGTGTCGAACTACAACGGTCATCTCAAGACATGATTCTAATATCCCATACTAAGTGGTCTAAATGGACTGTCAAAGGTTTGATTCCAATCAGCTCCTGAAAAAAAGATCGACTAATTATTAATTTAGAGCTGATGTGATGTCTTCAGGGGCATAAACAATCAGCTCCTAAATAGTATACGATTGTCTCTTTTTCATGTGTGATGTTTTCCCATGGCGTGAACCCCAAAACAAGTCGTCCGATCTGCTCGTCTACCTGGTAGTAGACAGCTTGTGGTCCGACCAGGAAGGGGATCACGTTCTTGGCACCAGCAAAAACCACCTGAACGTGGGTATCAACATCACATCAAAGGGTTTGGATTGAATATCTCACATCAAACCCTTCCAAAAGCATCACATCAAACCCTTTTGCATCCGACCTTTTCCTATCCGATGCCCAAACTGATTTTAGTTTCCTTGTCATCCATCAGGCTCTTTTTGCACCAAACTCCCCGAAGCAACTTCCAGATCCCCAAATCCTTGGCACATCACCATCCTCGAACATCCATCCTCCGCAATCCTCCTGCTTCCGACAAAAAGACCAAAAAACACTCACACACACACACACACGACCACTTCTGCATGCGCCAGCGCAAAAAAAACCCACTCCAAACGCCCCAGATCCGACCGTCGCGACGGGAAAGCGGCCGACGCCTCGTAGGGCGGCGAGGGCACCTGGCGAGGGCACGTGGCCGCGGTTCGGGTCTCGGAGTGGGTGGGAGGAACGACCCAAAGAAGTCAACAAGGCAAGTGGACAATGACTATACCAGGACCCAGAAGGGGTGGTTAATGGACACCCCGAATCACCTCTAAGGGGCTATCAATAGACACCCCTTAGGGTGTCCTGGTATAGGTCAAACAGTTTTCATGTTCACATTTCTGCCAGATAATCAGATACCAACTGCTTTGTTCCGTCACGAGTTGTTGAACACTCAAGCGACCAACATACCATAAATATAAAAAAACATATACAAGGGCTGGTGGCACTGAGATACAAAACAATTCTTAAGGCTCATCTGCTCATCGGCCATGTTGACAAAGCATGATACAACCCAAGTAGTGATCCTATCCTTCACCTTCAGATTCTCCAGACATTGCTTCTGAAGCACAAACAGGGTAGATGACAAATAGGACAACCCAAGCAGCTCATGGTTGTCACGTCCATCCCGGCAATCCTGTAGTAATATGATCAGACTAATCATACAAAAACCAAACATCTCAAACATTGAGAACACCCAAACATCTTTCATCTGGGGGCATGCCCATGCTTGGAATGAATGAACGCGTTGCACATATATATATATATATACATATTGAGTCTATCCTTTTACCTGTAACAGTGGATGATGATGGTTAGTAAAGGCCCTGTACAAAAAAATGATAATTGTTTACTGACTGTTACAGGTAAAAGGACAAACCCTATATATATATATTATATAGACATACATGTATACAATTACAGTATACACGAAACGCAGCATGGAAAAGGTCCGGATCCTTTCGGATGAACACATCAAACTGTCTGGACTCAAAAAAACAAATCAAACAATTCTTGGTATTCACATGTGTTCACTCTGACACCATGTTGGATAGTTTTCTTTCTCTGCCTTCTTCTACACATGATCCGCTCGATCCGACCAACGAACCTTGGACTGGGTCCCAACCATCTCTTCGACCTTCCGCCGTGGCCTCCGAACGATTGTAGAGGAACCGCAAGTTCTGTGTCTTGATGGCCTGGGCGTGACTCTTCGCTTGTCGCGTCCGCGACAGACTCGTCCGGAAGTGGAGGACCGGAGGAGGTGGAGGAGGGGGTGTGTGGGGTGCTCTATTGGTCCAAAGTTGCATGTGGAGTCATGGAACAATAAGGAAACACGACCACCAAGTTGTTTTGCAAGTTTGTTCTTCCCCACCTGGAAGCGTGAGCCTCTCTCCATGGCACTTCAGCCTGCTTCTTCACTTCCATGATCGCCACACTCCAGTCCAAAAGCTCCGACAGAAACGGTTGGAGTATAGCGTCGGACTGAAAGATAGAATGAGGACGTTCAGGTCGTAATTTTTTCGGGGCTATACACTTAGAATGTATCATGGTTGTACACTTAGAATGTGGTCCCACAACTTTCAGTCCGACGCCCGAATATGATGTATATATATATTATATTTACTATTTTTTTTATGTAAAGGGGATCGCCATAGATACACAGCGGTCCAGATGACCTCAACTTTTTTGAAGTGTGAAAGCCATTTGCAAGATTTGCAAGAGTGAACATTTGCCCGTTTCGCTGGCCGTGTTCCAGCAGCTCAGCAATTGAAGCCCAAAAAGCAATGGAGCCGATCGTGAGGGCAGCTTTGTCGAAGCCGCCAGATGTTGAGGAAGACCCTCCAGGATTGCCGCCAGTGCCTCCCCCTGAGCATCCTCCTCCCTTGGAAGAGCATCTCTCTTGCATTACACCACCCTTATTCAAGCTACCCTGAGGTTCACACCTTCTTTTTGATATGAGAATAATTACTGCGTGCCGTTATATCGAACATTTTGACCTAGGCATGGAGAGGCAACAGCTAGCGGTGAGCCGCTCCCAGTGGCACTCCCGGATTCCGTGAAAGCATTAAAGACGATGCTACTTGGTTTAAAAACAGATGCATTCCAAGTGATGACGTTCGAGTGTCCAATTTGTCCTACGGAGCTTGATTTAAATGCCCGAGGTTCCAAGTCCAGTTTGAAGATGAGATTTCTAACTAAGTGATTTTTTTTTTAATTAAAGACGATGCTACTTGGTTTAAAAACAGATGCATTCTAAGTGACGACGTTCGAGTGTCCAATTTGTCCTACGGAGCTTGATTTAGATGCGCGAGGTTGCAAGTCCAGTTTGAAGATGAGACTTCTAAGTGATAGAGC